ACAACAAGTAACTATGTAAACACAGATGATGGCCATGAGGCCTCACGGGACGGACCAAGTCTCGATCCCTCGAGGTATACACCCACACGCCCATCACCTAGCGTGGGTATCATCTCCAAACAGTCACACGATATCAAATTCTCCAGGTTTATACCCTCAAAGCCAGAGTTAAAACTGTTACTTAACTTAACAACGTAAAATCCTACTCCGGGATGCCCTCGTCTCTGGACTCGGTCTCCAAAAGCTCCAAATCTAACCATAATCTGATTAATACCATTCCACAATAAAAACTACAAAATATGCCAAAAATTCGAAACCGGCCAAAACCCGCCCCCGGGCCCACGTCTCGAAATCAGTCAAAAATGGCAGAATAATAAACCTCGTCCTCTCCCGAGTCTAACCATATAAAATTCATCAAAATCGGACTCCGTTTGGTCCCTCAAATCCTCACTTAAACTCTCCAAAACTCAAACCCTAACTCCCTCAATTTCACTTTGAAATCATCAATTAAATCCCAAAAACGAAGATGGATTCATGAAATATAACCAAAACTGAGTAGAGAACACTTACCCCAATCCTTATGGTGAAAATCGCCCCCAAAATCGCCCAAATCCGAGCTCCCCAACTCAAAATATGACCGAATGAACAAACCCTCGTTTTATATATTTTTCTGCCAGCTATTCTGCCTCGTTTCTCGTGCCAAACGATCCCGAAACTCGTTTTTTATGCCTCTAATGGATTCGTTGTGAAATTTTAGTCAAGTTAGGCTTTTGAATCACTCAATTTGACCTTATAATGAAGTAGATATGTAGGTTTTAATATTTGCAAATCGTGCAGATTTTTAAATACACCGTCAGAGGCAATTTCGTAATTAATCTGAAAAATCTGGCAACCTAATTCTTAGTGAAATGACCATAAAATCCTCATACGATGTCCAAATTCAACGATTCTTTTTGCTACGGGTCCGTAATTACAATTTACAATACGGATCTAATGCTTCAATCAAAAAAGAAATCGGAGCTCATTTGTTCAATATGATATCATTTATGCTTGAAGAAACGACGTCGAAACATAAGAAAAACGAGCGTAACACAACCCAAACCTATCCGAAACTCTCCCGAGGCCCTCGGGACCTCAACCAATAATTCCAACAAGTCATATATCACTACCCGAACTTAGTTGAACCTTCGGAACACCCAAAACAACACCAAAACACCAAATCAACCTCGGATTCAAGCCTAAGAACTTCTAAACTTCCAACTTTCGCCAATTCAAGCCTAATTCTACCACGGACTTCCAAATTACATTCCGGACACACTTCTAAGTCTAAAATCACCCAACGAAGCTAATCGAATCATAAAAATTCACATCCGAATTCGTTTACTCATAAGTCAACTTCCGGTTGACTTTTCTAACTTAACTTTTTAACTAAGAGACTAAGTGTTCATTTCACTCCAAAACTACTCCGGACCCAAACCTACCAACTCGATACAACTCAACACCGCTGAACAACACATAAAGAAGCAGGAATGGGGAAACATGGCTTTAACTCTCAGAACGACTGGCCGGTTCGTTACAACTACTTACCTAAGTTTACTTGATAGTGAGTTTTGTCCATACAAATGTTGATTTTATGCTGAATATCGTATTTAAGATTGCTTTTCTTTTTCTTCTTGAATCTTAACCTCTGTGACAATTGAGCTAAGACGTGTGAAGTTACTTCTCTCTGTTGTCATTCTTTTTGAGAATGTGATGTTTTCCCTTGTCAATTAATCTGCCCATCGTGTCTTCTTCGTCTCCAAGTAGAGTTTATACTTGTGTTGAGATACTGCTTACAAGTTTTTGAGTTCTTTTTTCTGTTTGGTAGATGATGAAAGAGTCTCAGAGTAAAGACAATCTTACTATTCGATGGGATATTGGTCTCAACAAGAAGCGCGTTGCGTACTTTGTCTTCCCTAAGGTATTTTCTTGTTATTTTTTCTGCTATGATTCTTCTAGATTCTTGGACTGTTATAGAGCTTATTGCTGTCATTTACTATTAAATCTTGATATGGGAAATCTCTTGTGTCTTTCCCTATCTGAATTGAAGATGGTCTGCTGTTTTTTAGGAAGATAATGAGTTGCGTCTTGTACCTGGTGATGAGCTAAGGCTGCGATATTCAGGGGATGCAGTACATCCAGCTTGGCAATCCGTGGGGCACGTGGTATGGACATTTTGCTTGATCTCCAACTCTTTTCGAGAGGGAAAATAATTTATGGAGTATAGCTAGCCATAAACCCTCTTAACAAGTAAATTGGTTGGAATGAAAAAGGCTCCCAGCATCATGGAAAATTTTCTTAAACGAGCTTCTCGGAAAGCTCCCTGCTTTTTGTTTTCTTGGGTTGTTAAAGGCTTCTTTTGCGATTTCTAGCCTGAGATATTGATTGACTATTCAATTTTCAGGTAAAATTAACTGCTCAAGAGGAGGTTGCGCTTGAACTTCGTGTCAGCCAGGTACCTTAGTTTTTAGATTGCTAGTCTCTTCGCGATTTTCTGTTTTCTTCTTTCACCATGTTTTGGCTTGTACTTTGGGCCTTTTCTAAACTAGTCCTGTCTTATCAGGGGGTTCCTGTCGATGTGACCCATGGGCTTAGTGTTGACTTTGTTTGGAAAAGCACGAGCTTTGATCGGATGCAGAGTGCGATGAAAACCTTTGCAGTGGATGAGACTAGTGTCAGTGGGTGAGTGAGAATGTCTGGTTTCTGTGTAGAAAGATAAAAAACAATTGTGAAGATTTCATGTACTTTTAATTAATTATCTTACTTGCCTAAGGTTTATTATTCCATCTAAACCTTTTCAAAAAGGTGTTCATCGAATTGGTTTGTCCCTTTTTTATTTGTTTATTGTAGGTATCTTGTAATGCTTATGATGATTATACATTTAGAGAAATGACTGCTCTTTCTTTAACTTTGCCTCGTTGAATGTTTAAGATATACTACATCCTTTTTTTGGATGAAGCAATAAGGGATACTGCATCTTTTCTTTTGTTGCCTAGTCATTGTATCCTGAATGAAACTTTGAATTCATCTATGTAGTACAAAGGAATGTCATATTCATGGATGTAACAACTTACTTTATTTGGGTCAACCAGTTGTAACTTTTATCGATGGAGCATTTAGTTTTGCGTTCTCTTTACTTCTTGTGCAGGTATATTTACCATCACCTGCTAGGTCATGAAGTTGAGATGCAGATGGTCCGCAATGCACTTCCTCGTCGTTTTGGTGCCCCTGGTCTTCCAGAGCTTAATGCATCTCAGGTTGAGGGCGCTGTCTGTTTGCTTGAACCTGTTACCTCTTTTCCCTCATTTCTGAAAAAGCATATTTCCTTTAGCTTCAATATTGATCACGCTTCCAAACCTTTTTCAGGGACACCTTATTGAACGGGATTTTTTGACAATGAAAATTCTTAGTAGTTCTCTAAGTATACACATGTATCAAACATGTTATGATGGCATGTTTGCTTACAGTTGAGAATTATAGTGAATAGTCAACCCTGATTGCTGTGTTGGTTCATGTTACATTGTGAAACCCATTAACAAGCACATGCAATCCAAATTTTAGTTGCTGTTTTGTTCTCTCTTTTCATAAAATTGCCCCCTCAATTTCGGCAGCTTACTCAATTAAGCTTAATGCAGAAGTGGTGCCCCATTGTCAGTTGCTTCCCCTCACCCCCTTAACCAAAAAAATACCCCTTCACCACCAACAGTGGAAAGAGGTTCTCAAAAGGAGTTCTTGATTCTGGTTGTCTTATTGATCCATGTTTGCATCCTTAGGTTTTTGCTGTAAAAAGTGTTCTTCAAAAGCCCATCAGTTTAATTCAAGGTCCACCTGGAACGGGAAAAACTGTCACCTCTGCCGCCATTGTGTATCATATGGCCAAACAAGGCCAAGGACAGGTAACTTTAAGTCATTTTTACTTATATTTGCTCTAGGTATTAGTCGCTTGATATAATGGCTCTTTACAATCATTTGCGGACTATTATTTCATCAGGTTTTGGTTTGTGCCCCCAGTAATGTTGCTGTGGACCAATTAGCAGAGAAGATAAGTGCTACTGGTCTGAAGGTGAGGCACCAGCTATTTCTGTATCTCCTTCCCACCCTCCAACCCAAGAAAAATAAAGTGACGAAGATTGAAGACATTTTGAACTGACTGGGAAATAACTATTTTGGTGTTTAATGCATATTTATGCAGCACGTGTTTCTAGTGGAAGCATCTTGCAGAATGTTGGACTGTTGTCCACCTTTGACATAGTATATATATATATCTCCATCCCCTATCAGCTCCTTTTATGGTATTGATTTAAAGAAAGAGTTCTATTTATATCCTCAGATGGATCGAGTATGGTTAACTGAAGGATAAAAATGAATCTCCTATATCCATCCCAATCGGCCCTGTCCCACCAGTGGTAGATGTAACCTCGATATTACTAGGTTCAACCGAACCTACTATTTTGACAGGAGCATAAATATCTATATGTAAAAATCACTAAAATTTACTTCTTAACCCATAATTTGAAATGTGCAATGTGTTCAGTGCCAAAAACCTTATAGGTTGAACCCATTGAGTTTTAATTCTGGATCCGCCTCTGTCAGTCCAACCCATGAATACAAACTGAAGGCGAACGAAGGAAATTGGAGTCTAAAAGTACTGGAAATATAATAAGAAATGTAATAAAAATGATCAGAAACTTCCAAATAACTCTTTTTTTTTTAATTTTTATTTGTGAGAATATTAGGTCCTTTCTCATATAATTTTCTTTCTTCCAGGTGGTCAGGCTCTGTGCCAAGTCAAGGGAAGCTGTCAGTTCTCCTGTCGAGCATTTAACCCTTCACTATCAGGTTAGTTTTTTAATTTGTTATCCTCAAATATTTTTTATATATCGTTCTATTTTTAATGATATGTTGTAAACTTTTGTTTATACAGGTTCGCCATCTTGACACATCTGAGAAGAGTGAACTGCACAAGTTACAGCAACTGAAGGATGAACAAGGTTTGTGTTGCTTTCCTGGATTTTCTTTGGCCTCATATGTATTGGGGGGATTTAGCATTTACATGGTGATACTTTTAGCATAGTGCTCGGTTTTTTTTTCTCTTTCTCATTATATATCCTTTATTAGAGCATTCTAAATATGTGATCATGATTCAGAGTCATTTGGTTAATGAACTTTCAGGAGAGCTCTCCAGCAGCGATGAGAAGAAATATAAAGCTTTGAAGCGGGCAACAGAGAGGGAAATAGCTCAGAGTGCTGATGTAATTTGTTGCACATGCGTTGGTGCTGGAGACCCTAGATTGGCTAACTTCAGATTCCGCCAGGTTGGTTTACCTTATTACTGAAGATTTGAGGATTTCCTAACTATTTTAGATTTTCAGTTTCTTATTTTTGTTCTTATGTACTCATTCTGGATTCTTGCTGATTTTAACATTTCTGTTGTGTTAAACCTCTTGGTAGGTGCTTATTGATGAATCCACTCAGGCTACTGAGCCTGAATGTCTTATTCCTTTGGTTCTTGGCGCAAAGCAGGTCACTATTGCAATTAATGTCATGTTGAAATTCATTTATGAAAAAATTTCATACTGAAATATAGTTCGATGTTGGGTCTTACTGTGAGTTTTGTGCTAGGCTGTTCTTGTCGGTGATCACTGCCAGCTTGGACCAGTCATTATGTGCAAGAAAGCAGCCCGTGCTGGACTTGCTCAATCTCTATTTGAGCGCCTTGTGTTTCTAGGAGTGAAGCCAATTAGGTTACAGGTGATTGCCTGTCTGTTGATGTGTTAACATGTCTATCAGGGTTGGTAGTGGCTGAAGTTAAATTTAAGATTCTCTTTTTCCAGTTATTCTCTTGTTTCTCATATAGTTGGCATAGTGATTGGAAGTGCTCTTCAGTCATCTATGAAGACTTGAGGAGTCTGCTTT